CGTCCGCCCCTCTCGTGTGCTGGGCAGCTCTGCGGCCGGTCCGGGACCTGGCTGAGGGCCTGGTCAGGAGACGTGGAGGTCTCCCAGGGGGAAGGACTGGTGTTTCTAAACCTTTTTTCATCGCGTGGGCAAACCTGGCAAAAGGTCTTGGTCATTAAGACGAGCAGGCAATGACTCCACGGTTCTCTCTTACTTCAGGGCAGTTGCTAAAGTGGCCAAGGACCGGGCTGGGACAGCAGCTGGTTGTTAAGTTGTGTCCATGGAGGTTTCCAGCTCAGCTGATCAGAGCTAAGCCAGGATAAACACTACGCAAGATCCCGAGGAGGCAAAGTTTTTGCTTGTCAGGCAAAATAGCTTAGAAAGATGATCCCACTTACTTGGGGGTTATCACCTAGTAGGTAACTCAAATTGCTTCTCTCTTGGGTGGGGCTTCAGTTGGAGACAATTTGAAAATTTTGGTGAATATCTAGTAACCAGAGAAGTGAGAACTAAGGGACTTATCAAAGTTATGTTATACTTTTTACTTTGGGAAGAAGCACATCCTTGTGGAGAAGCTAGAGGATGCTAAAATCACTTTTTTGATTTTGATGTTGGTGTTTGATATTGAAGCCTTCTCTTTTTTTTTTTTTTTGGTCTTTTGTATTTTCAGTGCCCTGCCATTTCTAGGTGCATGTCCATTTTTCCAGCTTCACTACTTTTATATCTTGCTTGGTATGGCAAGTTTCAGGTGCTTTCTTTGGTGAAAACTGTGCCGAGAATGAAAACATCACTGATCCCATCAGTCTTTTTCTGTTACTCATTCATAAAGCTGTGAGCAGTGGCCCTGGAGCAGGCTGCCTTCAGGTTGGGTGGGAGGACAGTATTATCTCAGCTATCGTTAAGAATTCACCTTTGTACGTGAAGGCTTTCACGTGGCTGCACTACATAAAAGCTTGGTGTTTGTATAATGATGTTTCCCCCTCTTACTAGTTCACCAAGAAAAGCAACTTCCCTTGTTAGAGGCAAGTAAGCAAATGGAGTTTTCAAGGCTTGGCATGTGGATTATATTACATTCTGGAAGCTGGCTGATACTTTGCTCTGACAAGTTTGGACTATTGTGTGATTCCCAGGGCACTAGGAAGATTAAAAGATCTTGCCTTCTGCTTTTTTAACTTGGTGTGGTGTTTGGTTTTTGGTTTTTTTTCCATGCTAAAACAACAGTGAAAAACAAGGACATTTAATTAGCAAGTTTGCCAACATGAAATACATGTTCTACCATGGGAGGTGGAGATTGGGGAGCTGAAAAACACAGACTTCTTGAATGAGTGAGTCACCATGACAACACAACTAAAATGTTGCCTTTCTCTGGTTTCAGGCGTCATTCCCAAATCTCTTGCTAGGTAAGAGTGAGCTTGTCCTGGGCAAATTATTTTCAGCATTAAGAAATCCCTTGTCAAGTCTGCTAGTAGTGCTCTGGGGCTGAAGAGCTGGGGAATAGGGAGTTAATAATTGTACCTGCATCTTTGTACAGTTCCTGACTTAGGCCTTATTCCCTGAAACATATCTTAAAGGCAGGAAAGATTCTTATTCAGAAAGGGACTGGAAATCACACACACTACAGCTATTCATTGGCATGATCTGCTTACGGTTTCTGTGAGATTAAAAAAGATGAGCCTCATGACAGAAGCAGCTCCAAGAAAACTGCGTGACTGAGCTGTGTTTGTGCCAGAACATAGCAATGTCTTAGCCTTGAGGTCTCTGAGCTACTTGCAGAGCTATAAAATTAATGTAGCAGGCTTTGCCCTAGAGTAGGTGAGGAACGTTCTCATGAAACAGCATCTCCTGGTCTAATAGTAATGCTCAGCAAAGCATGTGGGAAGAAGCACAGCCATATTTTTGCAGTGAACACTTGACACCTGGGATTAGTGCAGTAACTATATGGAGCCTCAAAATACAAAGTTTGAGTTTGATCAAGCCTGGACAATGCCCTACAATCCATGTGCCTGGAAAGATACATTTTGTTATTGGGCATTTTTAAATGCTAAGTCACAGAATCATAGAATAATTTAGACTAAAAGAAGCCTCTGTATGTCATCTAGTCCAACTTCCTGCTCAAAGCAAAGATAACTTCAAAGTTAGATTGAATAGCTCGACTCAAAATTCAGCTGACTTTTAAAAATCTCTAAGGATAGAGCCATGACAACCCCATTGGATATCCTGTTGCACTGCCTACCCACTCTCATTATTATCACTCTGTTATAATAATGAGGAGCATCCTCATGGGTGGCTCACTCACAGGTGGCCACTGAGATCTACATTTTGGTTAGTATATCCTTAGGTGAATATGTCACTTGGAGTAGATGAGCTCACTCTCAAAACCAAAAAAAAGGTAAGTAAAATAAAAAGAGTTAGATACCACAAGAAAATAATTGTAATTTGGAACCATGTAATTTCTAACTTACTCAAAATTCAACCTTATGCTAGGCTTTGTGCTGAAACATGTTTAAAGGAGTGTGTTCCTGTTCCAAAGGGTTTCCTACCTAACGGGACCCAGGCAGACCCAGGCTCTTTTTATGCTTGGCAATTAGTTCCATCACTTGCTGGGATTTGCAGAGGAGCTAGGAATTCCCCTTAGTTCTCCCCAATTTCCAATGAGATGCTTTTTGTACATGGTCATTCTGCCCAGAAGGGATGGGGGCAAAGGTCCAACCTTTCTTATTTTCTGCTCTCAGCACTAGTTCGAGTCTTAGGAGTTACTTTCTTAAAAGATGAGATATATGCCTTTCTTAGGTACAGACTCAAGTCATTGAACAGATGGAAAAAATTTAAATTCTTCTGCTGTCTCATTAGGACACTGTCTGCAAATTATCTAATCTCACATTGTGACTGTAGCTTTAAAAAATGCTTTTCATTAACACTACATTTTCTATGTTAAAGCATACCAAAACCACTAGCTTATTCCATAGTGCCCTGAAGAACTGTCAGGTAAATTGGACTCATAATGAGGAAGAGAATGCCTTGTTTTTATTTCAGCAGTCCCTCATACGATCAGCCCTAGTTTATCTGACTTTGTGCTGATGACTAAGCTTGCTTCATAATTTAATAACTGCAATATTGATCTAGACAGCTTAAAAAAAAAAAAGCCACCCTGCCTAATTATGTTAACTGGTGAGCCTTGAGGGGTCTTGTGGGTATGTAACATGCAATTAAATACTATCTAATTAAGAATTTCCCTGATGTTGTGATAGTCTCTTGAGTAAAGGCTATTTGCATGTCTCCGTTCTTATCCAAGAACATCTTGTATTTTACTGATTAGCAGTTTTTGCCTGGTCTCCATGGTACAATTTGGGAGAAGGGAAAGTGTGTGTGGGGGGGTGGTCAAGCATTTTGTAGGCTTTCATGCACAATTAAAAAAAATCATTAATAAAAACCTGTTTAAGCAGTGTTTGAAATTATGACAAGACTAGGCTGCTCAGGGTGACTGCTCTGCAGATGTGCGAGGGTACTGCAGTGAAGCCAGAGCTCTGTCTTATCCTAATACATCTGTATTGTGGTATCTTGGCAGAGCAGTGTGACCCGCAGCAGATGCGGCGCTCCTGTTGATTTCCTGGCTGTGTTTCACTCATGTCACAGCTTCATTGGTTATTAACTCTCTTCTTGAACAACTAGTTTTGAATTAAGTTAGAGCATGGATAGATGTTTTAAGTCAGTGAACGTAGCAGGATGTCAGTAGATCTTAATTTATTTATTTATTTTTAGTGTCTTAATGTCCCTGTCTGCATACAGCTTTTCTGTGTCAACTGAGTAATTTTGCTACTAACTCATTTCCCTTTTTTGGGAAGTATGTGGGGGGAGTGTGCTTCAGAGGGCTTTTCGTGGTATAAAAAAAAAACACCACCGAGATCAGTATAAATACCAATTGGAGCCTTTCTCACAACTAGAGGAAAAGCAAGAGTGCCTGTTTCCCATGGATCCTCTGATATGTCCGGGCTTCATCCTTTCTTTTATGAGGCTGCTAATAGACCCTGTCTTCCATATTCTTGTTTTCACAAATGTTTGGAGAGTGAATATGAGTGGTCTCCCTTTGTTGAGATTGGCCAGTGGGTTTAAAAGCAACTGAGCGCAGGGATATAGAAAAAGACTGAAGCGGTGTATTCTTGTTCCTGTTTGCTCTCTTAATAAACACGTAGAGTATGTCTCCTTGGTTACAGAAATGTCAAGTGCTAGTGAAGAGAATCCTTGTGTCACTTGTTACAGTAAGATGCTTTCTTCTTGGATTTGTCCCCTTGAGCACAAGGATCAGGATCGTTAAGGACATTTGCAAAGCACAGAATCTGTGACAGCATTATCTTATTGCTACTTAGGGCACTGTCAGCATTTGGGCCCTGGTGGCTTCCCTGGGAATGAAGAGAGATGTGTACTATGGCAGGATTGGGTTCTTGGGTTCCTAGAAGATGCCTTCAGGTCTGTTAATATTGTAGTGAGGTTGAACCACAGCTTTTAACAGACTGGAAGGACGTAAAAGAAGGGTTTACTAAGGACTGGACTGAAATTGCTGGGAGCTGCAGGCATGACTTTCAATGGACTTCTTGGTGATGGGATGCCAGATTGGTCATGTATAAACCGTGCTAGCATAGTGTGAATCGGATTGCCTGGCTTTCTGTACAAACTCTTCTCGTGTTCCAAAATCAATAACCCATTTAGAAAAGACTAAGTGGGCCCTGAATCAACTGTTGACAGAGATGACAACAGTAATGAATGACTACAGTGTAGCACCACAGGAAATACTCAGCAAGAGAAGCAGAGAAAAATGGTTTTGTGTCTTCACTGTCCCAGTTGCTATGCCAGCTTTCTGCACTGGTTCCTGGGTCCAGGGCACTCTTTCATCCATCCCTTGGAAAAAAGATGGTGTCATTTCACGTCGATTCTCCCACAGTTCTCCCAACTTGCTGACCTGTCTTCCTTTTTTTTTTTTTTCTTCATAGGCCATCATTCTGGTACACTGGCTGCTCACGGTGTGGTGAGTGATTAGTAACTGGTCTGGCCTGGGTAAGAAGAGGGTATTCCTTCAAACGAGGAATGGGACACTCTCAGGGAATCAGGACTCCCTATTTGTGCCTGTCTGCATGCAAGAAGATCCTAAATCTAAGTGTGAGGTGTTTGTATGGGAACAGCGATGAATGCAAACTGTTGAAGGCTTATTGTGAATGTGGGCTGGGTTTATTTTTTGTCTTGTTTGGCAGGGGGTGCATGAATTACATGTTTCCAGCCTCCTATGCCTGGGGAAATTTCAGTGTCCTTGCAGTGGGGATCTGGGCCATTGTGCAGCGAGACTCCCTTGATGCCATCATGATGGTGAGTGTGAGGGTATTTGCCTCCACCAGGCTGCTTGGGGAGAGGGTGGAGGGCAGAAACAGCTTTGAGTGAGTGATGAATTTCAGCTGTTCCCAGTGCAGGAGTGAACAAGTCAAATCCCTTGTTTGGGTTGTTTTGTTTTTGGTTGTTTATTTTTATTTTTTTTATGAGAGGTTATAAATCTATAAGCACTGTAAACCATGGTGAGAAGCATTCACTGTCACTTATTTTGCTTCTCAGAGGTGAGGCATACTTGATTCTTCCTTTTTTTTATCTGCTGTTGTGACTTGTAATGCCAGAGGAGGACTGAAAGGGTTTAATGTGCTTGAGTTGGAGGGGCTGTATAAAACCCTTCTCTGAACATTAAAGAGATTGGCAAGCAAAAATAAACAATCCTGGAGCATATAATGAGAAGGTGTCTGACAGATGTGAAGAAAATGCACAAAATACAGGATCATTCAATTACGAATGTCTGTCTACCTGGGGCAGTGTCAGGGGTTAGCAGTGTGTGTTATGGGGGTGAAGGCATGGTTGTGTGAATGCACATATCTCACACGAAATAAACACTGTAACTGACTTACTCCTAGTGGTTAATCCCCTATTCAGTTCATGTCCCATTCTCCCTTTGTTTCCAGTTCCTGACTGGCCTGCTGCTCACAGTCCTCACGGACATCATTCACATCTCTGTCTTCTACCCTCCAAACAACTATCTCTCTGATGTGAAGCGTTTCAGTGCAGGCATGGCCATCTTCAGCCTCCTCCTCAAACCTGTGTCCTGCTATTTGGTGTATCAAATGTATCGGGAGCGCGGAGGAGAGTACACTTTTAACATAGGTAGGATGCTTCCTCTGCCTCCACGTCAGTGTGGGTTACCTCCTCTGGTGATACGGAGACCGCCTTGCACTTCAGCCTAAGCTCTGTGCAGCTGGATTCTGCCCCCCTTTCCAGGGAGGGGTGTTGCTCTCTCTCTTGCTAATGTCTGTTCTCCCATTTTGTGGTTCTGCTGTGTCTGAGGCCTTAAATTTACATTCTTCCTCTCTTCCCTTGCAGACCTGGAGTCCTTGTCCGACAGCCATTTTGCCCACAATGGTACTGAGAGCACTGCTGTCTCTCTCTTCCTCCTCCTGCATTTGTGTGTGCTCGTTGGATGCCTTTGGGTGTCCTTCTCTCTTTGCCAACCCTTTCTGTTGCTTCTGGGGGAAAGTAGAGGCAGCATCCCCTCTAGCTGGACTATGCACGAGAGGGAAAGAAGCTGAATTTCTAACTCCATGCTTTCTCTGGGCCTCACATGTCCTAGCTACCTAGATTGCTTTGGACCTCCATTTCCTCACCTGGAAAATGGGTCTGATGTTTACCTTGTGGGATTTTGCCTGGAGGCACTCATTTTTCTCCTGATTGTACTTGCTAATGATAATGTGGCAGCCCTTCCAGAGAGAAAGGGCTGGGGCTGCGTGTTCTGGGTCTCAGTCAGCTGCTTTGCCAAGCATGCCTGGTGCTAGTCCACCCGGGGCAGCTGCCAGGGATTGTTTGCTGTGTGGGAGTTCACCCTGGCAAAACCAGCAGCCTGGCACAGTTATCTTTTTGCTGACCTAAGAAGGCTGTGCAGGACAAAGGATGGTGTAACTGCATTACAGTGTTTGAAAACTGTCACTTGTGCTGCTTTGGTGGTAGCAAAGAAAATAACACTTCCTGTGAAAAGAGGTGGAGAGGCTGCAGAAGGAAACCATGGGTAGGGGCGATATGTGCTATTTGCATCTCTCTCCTACTGGAATGTACATGTCTTCTCCATCAGCTACTTGTGCAAGTGCGTTCATTCCTTTGCTGGGAATTTGGGAGCCCTCCTCCTTTTCAACCATGCTATGCCAAAACAGGCCTGATACTGTCCAGGAGTCTTTTCTCAGGTACAAGTTGGAGTTAAGACACTTTGTAGTTTCATATCCTCTCCTGAACTTTCTCACAAGATTTTCAGTACAAACTGTGTGCTGCTGTTTTATAGAATGTGGTTGACAGATTTCCTCTCTCATTTTCCTGCTATCTGGCATTTTCCTTTGAACCTAACAGTGTTGCATTTTTCCCGGTTTTCTCTGTCTCGTTTTCCTTCCACACAAAATCCCTTTTTGTTGCTTGGCAGCATCCTTGCTGCTTAGAACAAGCCTCTGATACAGTTTGGTACCCACCTTTGATTCAGATTGCTTTCTAGCCATAGCAGATACCTGGCCTATAGATAAAGAGCTGTCCATGCACATTTTTTGTCTGTCTCTCTTCTTTCCCCACTCATCTCCTGGACAGTAACATGATTTTTGTACCACAGGCAAATTGTTCATAGTGCAATTGGGAGCACTGCTGGATTCAAATTTAGTGCCATGGTGTGTCACACTTCATAGAGGTTGTTGGGAAGAGTGGATCATGGATGAATCATGCTCTTAAATCTATGCTGTGAGCTAGCCATGGTTTCTGCTGCTTTGGGTTTTGTCTGTTCATTTTTCCACTAGATCTCATAAACTTGATCTTGCTGAAGTATACCATTACAGGAGCCTGTTATGCTGCTATGTAGTATTGCAGGTCTTGCTTTACGCCCAGCCATGTGGCTACTAAGAGAGCAGTTCTCAGGTAATGAAGAGGCATATTCAAATGCATCTGAGTTATTTTGCCTTTGTTGGAAGGATGTTTTACCTCCTGCAAGGATCACAGAACACAGGTGCTGGAGTGTTGGTTGAGCAGCTAATGTGGTGTGTTCCTGAGGTGTTGGTTCCTTCTAGGGGATTCGGTCCTTGTGCTTTTGTTTTTTTCCCAAGCTTGTTCTCTTCCCTCTCCATTCAGGTGCCAACCGTGCAGGCCAGGATCGCAGCAGCTATGAGCCAATTGATCGGCAGGATGCCCCCCCACAGTGGCCTGACTCAAGCAAGACAGCCCAGCAGCCATACTGATGCCCTCTCTGCAACGAGAACCGACGCTTCCCCATCTAGCCTTCCACTCTTCCCATGTCCATTCTGATGGAGCAAGACCTGCTACTGAGCAAACAGGAGACGATCTGATTTTATATTTCTTTACCTCCCTGAAGGTTAGGCAGATGGGTTCCTGCAGTAAGGCCAGAAGATCTCAGAGATGTCATGTTAAGCACTGTGACTTTTTGTAATCCTGGTACTCTGCTTTCCTCCCTCCCCCTCTGTGTGAGTGGATGCATCTTCTGTGGTCTTAAAAATCTTGCCTTGTGCATCCTCTCTGTTATAAGGGAACCACTCAAAATATTCCTGGACAAGCTATCTTTAAAAGGCTTATGGACTGCCTCAGCAATACAGTTTAGCCTGCTTTTATGCAGATACATTTCCAGGAAACATCTGGGAGTTCCTAAGGGCTGTTTTTGATGGCGTTATTTAACTAAGATTTATGACCATAACTCCCTGTGCTAGCTGTGGTGATTTGCACAAAGCAGGGGTTGGTATAATATGCTCTTACTGGGCCAAGGAGCTGCTTCTGCTCCCAGTAGCTAGTCTTGGGTTTTATTCACTGATGCTTTTATGCAAGTTGAATGTCCTTCCGGATACTTAAAATGGCTGTTGAATGTAGGTTATACTCTGTGCCTTGAAATGTCCTTCTTCCTTCAGCTGCCTATCGTAATGGAACTTGAAATGTTACATTTTTCTAAGAAAATTATAAAAAGAACACAGTTTTTCTGTGTTAGAAAAAGTTACACTTGTCACCTATGTCTCATTTGAAAATGTAGGTATTCCTGAGGGTTTGGGACTGTAGCCAGGCAGTCTGAGAGAGTTGTTACGGGGGAGGGTCTACAGGGCTTCAGTGGCGTTTAGTCTAAGCTTTACTCAGACAAGTAGATCATACTGCTTGTAAATTTGTGGGTGGTGAAGGTGGGTTAGTAAAATGAGGATTGGGGAAAGGAAAAGATGGGCTTATTTACACTGCAGTGGTGAGCTCTGTGGGGTGTGACAAACTATAAATTCTAATCTTACACACAATAATCTGCCCTGCTGTGGTTTTCAGGGTAAAATCCTAAAAAAAAAGAAAGATGTTCAACAGGATTCTTTTTCAGAAGAAAAAGATTATGTCAACTTTGGCAGAATGGAAGTACTAGTGCCAGGAAGACCTCTGTTCTTCTAAAGCAGGTTCATTTTCAAAGGATACATCTGTTACTCTATGGTTGCGTTTCTCTTGACAAGATCTGCTACTGCATTGACGCTCCAGTGACTTAGAGCCCTGTTAAATTTGCTCTAACCTCTAAAACCGTTTGTATTATTAAAACCCAGCAATTTTCTCCCAAGTCGGATTGCTTTAAACATAGTAAGCTGCATCCTCCACTATGCTGCACAAGCGCTACAGTGACCTGCTGCTATACCTGGACCGTCAACATTTATACCTAGACAAAACACATGGTAAATACCATAAAAGTGCAGTAGTCTGGTTTACTCTCAGAGATGAGTGTTGTGCATTCATTTTGCAGGCTGCCATGCAATAGAACATAGGGATAGGAATCAGTCTACTCTTGTGATCATATGGGGAAGAAACAAGAATAGGTAGGCAGAAATTTCTGGGTGTTGTGGAGCTGCAGAGCAGGCCTTTATATTCAGTAGTGTGGGTTTTTTTCAGCTCTTCAGAACTGTACAGTGACAGCGTGGATCCCTGAATAACACATTGAAACGTTCAGGTTTTTTCTTCCCTGGACCTGTGAAGCACAGACTGAAAGCAGCTGTTTCAAATGCAGCGCTGAGGCCTTCCCAGCCATTCTCCACAAAATCTATTGATACCTATCTAGCTGACCTGCTGTGTGCTTTTCCGTGGAGAATTCAGCATATCAGGCTCAGGGGAACAGACCATGGCGGGACTTAGGCTAGGCTTACTGTGCCTCAAGGATACCTATTTTGGGCAGTAAATCAGAGAGGTGTTGATAAAACCAAGGCCCCCTCTCCTGGCTTTCCGAGGAGGAGGGCATTTGTTTCGGCAGAGCTTACAGTAAGCACAAAGGCGCTCTTGGATAAGTACCTGGTTTAGCGGGGCCTGTGGGGATTCACTCTGTGTGCTGGAGTACGGCCTTGCTGATCCGGGCAGCCGGGCTTCACCGCGGGGCTCCTCCTGGCTTGTCGGCGGGGTCTCCTCAGCCAGACAGGCAGCAGGTGTGATACTCTGCTCAGGTTTTTTTTGTGGTGGTGTTTGTTGGTTTGTTTGTTTTTTTTTTTAAATCCTCTGGTGCTGATGTGCTGGGGTGGTGGTGGTGGGGTTTTTTTGGTGATGATCTGGCAGCTCTCTAGGATTAGCCCGGTGCAGGTGCCTCTCTCAGCGGCACTGTCCCTCAGGCTGGCCTGCCTCAAGGCACCCTGCCCGCCCAGCCTTGCACCCCAGGCCGGGCTCTCCCGGGGCGGCCGTGGGGCCTGGCGCTGCTGACAGGATCCGGGACATGGCGGGTTCGGGGCTCCTCGTGGGCGAGGAGGAGGAGGACGGTCCCCCCTCTCCTGAGGCGCTGCCCCAGCCCCACCTCATCTGGGCCACCCTCAGGCCACTGCTTTAATTAGCCGTGGGTGAGAACGGCTTTCCAGTGGCCATCTGCAGCCCCGGTGACAGGCGGCGTTGCTAATCGCAGGGGGGGATAAGCTGCTTACAGCAACCCAGCTGGAGTGCGCTCGCAGCCGGGTTTTGGGCATTAAGGGGGGACAAAGCTGCGGGTTTGTCCATGCGAAGGAGGTGCAGGCACAAAGAGGCGTGTGGCCCGTCCCTGAGGTTCTGGCGAGGCCCAGTGGCATGTCTGCCGGCGGCGGCTATCGGAGTGAGTAAGTACCGATGAGGAGAGGTGTATCCGCGGAGGGCGCTGGCAGCCATCGGGGATGCTGAGCGGGGGCCTGGGGTGCACGCCCCGGCCATGCCAGCCCAGAGAGGGCCTCAAACGGCTCCCCTGAGCTGGGGCTGTGGGTGACGGCCCTCCCACTCCCACCACTGCATCCTGGGACACCGTCTGGTCCTTGGATGGATGGCAGCACGCAAAGGGAGGTGCTGGGTGGCTGTTCCTCAGCTGCTGGAGCAGTAACCCCTCTCTCTGGTTAAGGGAAGAGCACTTGTGTGTGCCTGTTGATCTCGAAGTCGCAACGAGAGGCTGATGCGATGGCAGTGATGGTTTGGTCTGTAAGGCTGAGCAGTGGGGGAAAAGTCTTGTTTCTAAGGCACATGAAGCGTGATCTGGGACCAATCACTGGTCCCAGCTTGAAATGTGAAATGGATCAGCCTTGGTCTGCAGGGGTGGGAAAATTAGCATTGTCTGTGTGATGCTTATGTGTTTATTATGGGTCTGTCATTGTTGTCGTAATGCTAAAACAGCATTCACTTATAAGAGCTTGATTTACTTCTCATGAACTTATCCGCTTACTTCTGTTGTAAGGAAATAAGGAAAAAGGAAGTATGTTGATCGGCTTAATTTTTGTTTGCTTAATTGTATTTATGTCAGGTTTTAATGCATTAGTGTGTTGCTGCAAAGTGTATACAGTAAGCATGCGTTAAATGTTTTAGTTGGAAACATCAAAGCCAATATGAAATCCATTGGTCATGGATTTTGCAGTTTACAAAATCTGTGGCTTGCCTTGAGTATCTCTTTCAGCCTTAGCAGAAGTTTCTAAAAAGCATGTCATAAAATCTAGTTGCCTTTTGAGTAAGATTAACTACTGCTTCAAAGTGGTTATGTTAAAGTCCTGAATGGCAATTTTCGGAAAGCAGACGAGCATGATTTTTAAAAGACACTCTCTTCCTAATCTCAATGAGACTGAAGTTAGGCATGAGTGAGGTGAAGAACACCACCTAAAATAATATGGCAGTGTGTTGAGAACCTGGTACCCAGCAGAAAGAACTGAAATGGAGAACTAAAAAGATTGCATGCGTTATAAAGAAAATAAATTATGTCTCGGTTCTTGAGCACAAAAGTAGTCCAGTGCCGGGTTCCAGGTGTTTGTGGAGCAAAACAGCACTGATAACCATCGTGGTTTCATGTCCTTTCACAATTCAAATCCTTTATAACACCCTTTTGTGATATGTTACTAGTTCGCTGGATGTTCATGGGATGCAAGGAATGCTTCTACGGAACACCAGTCCGCTGCATTTTGTGGTTATGCTTCACGCAGTGATAGGCACCCAAAAGAAGGCAGCCATGCTTTGTCTGCTCACTCTGTAGTTGCCAACTTCTACTTGTTTGGATAAAATAATGGGATCTTTCCATTCATGGTACACTTGGTGATGTATGAAAGGCAGTAACAGCAGTTCCCAAGGATAATTGCAACACTGCATGACTAACTCCTGTTGCTTTAGTAATTGAGTTTACTCCCCAGTTTGTGGTGATTACTGAAAGAGTTTGCATGTGAGAAGGACAAGCGGGCGGTTTGCAAACAGGTATGACTGAGGATCACATGCTTTCTTAGAAGAGCAACTTGGAAGAGATAAACATAGTTTGGAAACAGTGCAATTTGACAAGAGCCTTTCTGGTATTCGAGTATGTTTGAAAAAGACAATGGGCATTGATTTCACAGGCTGTGCTATCTCTTTCTTTTCAGATTGACTAGGGTTTTTTTAAGATTATATAGGAGTGTGTGTCTTCACAATACCATTTTCATTTTCTAAAAGGGAGATGAAAAAGAATGGTAGTTAGAATGACAGTGATTGACAACTTGCTTTTAAAATTTGAGGGAATGAAAGTGCAGTCCTTTCAAATTGCACTTACCTGTTAGCAGCAACTTAAAAATCCATGCTCAGCATGAGTGTTAGATGTATAACAATCTGACTTAGTGGCTAGATTGCAAATTAGATCTCTCATCTATGCTGTAACTCTTCCAGGTCAGGGGACGATGTAGATTCTCTGGATGTGTAAACATGGTTTCATCCTTTAGTGTGGACAAGAAGAAATTGGCCTGCATAGCCTTTAACCTTTGCAGGGCTGTAGCAT